CGTGGTGGTAAGGCAGAGATCGCTATCTTTTAAGAGAAGAGAGAGACCACATCAAAGGACACAATGGTTTCATCTGGATCCAGCGTACTTTTCTGAACCTTGTTGGCAAAGTAGGGGGAGTTTTTGATGTGATGGGGTGTGTTCCCCACAAGAGGAGACAGGATGGTGATGAGGTGCTTGGAAATGTTGTAGGTGGCTGGGTAGTCCCACCCAGTTATACCCTGGAGTCCCCCAGGGTATATACAGGGTATACAGGGTATAGCATCCCTGGGTACAGACAGTGGTATGTAGAGTGGTCAATGGCTTTATCCTTTTTTCAAGTTGTTTCGGCAACTGATGACTTTCTTTTTGTAGTTACTTGTGGGGTCTCATCTTAAGGCTTCATTGGTGTTGTTGTCATGCCTTGGCTCATGTGATGAGACACATGATCAATAGTGGGTCAACAACCCTCCTAAGGGACAACACCCACTAGGACCAAAACCCGTGACTCTCGACCATTTGGTCTTAAAACTGAAGAAGCTTCTCGGATGAGAGTGAAGCATCTTCAAGAAACTTAGAGGTTCAGTAGCTGTTTTTCCAAGCTCCTTAGATTACCATGGCCTGGATGACTGAGAACCTACACAGACATATGTTATATAAAATGTTTTACTCCAGGTGCATTCAATTTCTCTTAAAATATAAATATCTATTTTATTGACAGAAGGCATGATGATGGGAATAACCAAACAGTTTGGTTTTGCAAAAAAAAACAAAAAAAAAACTATAGCTTGCTGGGCGCAAAGGAAGCCTTCAGCATTTCAGGGTTTTTAGATATTTTACTGCAGCTCAGCAGGGTTTTTACACATGCTTTTGTCAAGTTTACAAGTTTATCATATACCCTAAAGTGCACGAACCTATGATTTATAGATGCATCAGTTCAGGTCCTGTGTGTTGGCCTTTAACTGCCGTAAACCTTTAAATCTGACACAATTTAAAACAGTTCAGTCTCCTATTGGTGTTTTCAAGTTTTTAGTCTGCCTCTGAAATTAATTGTATGTTTCCTATTTAGGCCGTCCTGCTCACAAGCTTAAACCATAACTGTTATGAAAATAATACGGATAGTGAGGTTTTTTTAATTTTACACATGATCATTTTACTTTGTATCTCGAATGCCGTAAACATCAACAACTGTTTTATTATACGCTTCTGCTGACGGTGTATATGTGTATGCTTTTTTAGTAAGAATTCCTAAGGTTTCTGTACACAGTGTGCAAAAACTGGAACTTTTTCTTCACTTTTCTTAAAGCAGAGGGTCTGCTATGTGGGAGTAACTGGAAGACACAAAGGAAAGAAGGGAGGACAGCAGGGAAAAGGAGTAGGGGAGGATAAAACTGGGACACTGTGCTACATCATAGATGTTGATGACTGAAAACCAATAGTAATGTTAATGTTAGGATAACTGCAATCTTTGAAGCCCACTGAAAGCAGTGCTTGAATCCTGCTAAAATATGTAAAGTGATCTTTTTCTTAAGAAATCATCAATTCCTCCATGCCAGTAGGAGTATGTTTATATAGATCATTTATTAAAGTTATACAAATAATACTTTTATATGATTCATTTAAATTCATTTTAAACATTTGGCAGAGAATAGATTCAGTAAAATAGAAGTAGATAGTTTTCTGAAAGTGGGATCAACTCCAGGAATTATTTTTTTTGCCAAATTGTTAAGTCATCATTAAACACTTTCGTTGTTTTGATATATTTAATGAATCGTTGCAGCGATATTAGCGTGTAATTTCCTTCAGTCAGTTGGATTGGCTGTTCTTCTCACTGTATGGAGTGTAAATTGTGGTCTGCAGGAATTTTTCTGCTCCTCTAGGAAGCCCCTTAATATTGCAGGTGGTGTTTGTTGTTTAGGTAAATGAACCTTGTCGGCTGAGGAGATGTGTGGTCTCCACCTGCAAGCATTCAGCTGTATGGCAATAAAAATATAAGCCCCATGCTACAGCTGTCCAGATTTAAAGCCTCTTCACAAACTGTAGCTATTTATCAAGTTTAATCCAAAACAGGGATTTTGGATGAAAAGTATATTGTTTATATGCCCTCATTCCAGTTAGCTTACACAGGGCTGATCTTCACTTTGAACATTTTATAACAAGGAGTACAGCTAAGAAAATAGCGCCTTTACCCATACCAGTATACCTTATTTTGGTTTATTTGGGGTTTTTTAAAGTCATTTATTTCTGTATAAAAATAATGTGATCTTAACAAATATAGGTTTCAGTTAGTTAAAATGTATCTAGCAGCCCTATTAGACAAAAAATATGTGTAATTTTGAGATTTTGCATCTGACTCTTTCTATGTGAAACAGTTAGCTCAACTAAGTGCAGGAAGTTGTTTTTTCACTTTTCACTTTTTCATTGAAAATGATGACAAAGAGGGAAAAAAGGTGACTACTGTGAAACTAATTTGGTATGACCAGTAGCAAAATAAACATTGACAGCAGAACTTGTCCACGGTTCAGATATAGGCCTTGATCTTTCCTATGTGAAGTCTGCATGTTCTCCACCTCCCCGTGTGGGTCATCTGTTTTCCACCCGCAGTCCACCCACATGCACGCCAGGTGGACCGTAGATTATCTGTGACTACGAGTATCGTGGCGTCCACCCGTCCTGTGGAGACTGATGATCTGTCTACGACGCTCCTCTGATTTCCACTGGTGCATTCTGGGAAAGGTTGCAGCCTTGTGCAGCTTGTTTGTCCACATGTTCCTGCACAGGTTTTGCACTTGAATCCTGCACGAAGTTTCCATTTTGAGCGTGGGAGGTTTTTTTGGTTTTTTTAAAAAAGGGTTTGCCCGACAGCTTTTTCTGATTTTTTTTTCCTCTTTTTTTAATGAAGTGTTTTACGAACCAGTCCTCCAAGTGAGACATCAGGTGATGAAGTGGTTCTGATCAATGGGTAAACCTGGAAATATTTTAGGAATATTTGGACCTATGATAATAAATAGGTGTGGTGTTGTCTTGGGAGCATTACTTTTTTTAAGGAATTTTGGCAGAACAGCATGACATCGTAAATTTACCGTAATAAAATTTTACCTCTAAAATGACATGCTAGGTATAAATAACACCTTTTATCGACTTATCTCATCGCGATTTAACCAAGTGGATTTATGTCTTTGTTTGTTCATTGAATGGATGGATGTTGTACTTTATTCACAAAGTAATTTTTGCCCAGCAATGACACGCTATTTGATATATTTTGGTATACTGCATGTGTAAAGAACAAAACATTTTTTGGTTATATAGTGTTCTGATTTATTCGTGCTCTTCACTCATACTGGCAATGACGCACAGACTGATATCATTTGTTTGCTTCTCTATCCTAATAAGCATGGGAATTAACCTCTATTGTAGTAGCCAAACCAGAGGTGACCTTCTGCAGTAAGCAACGCACTTCTCCAGCCGGAGGGTATAGTATGTCTTTACGGAAAACAGCCAATCTGGCATGTGAAGAAGAACGTTTTCACGGGACTCTATGTACTATGTACGCCCTATTGCTTTGTTCAGCATTAAGAAGATATATAGCAGCCAGGTGCTGCTAGTCAATTGAACATGATTAATTGATGTTCAGTTAATGTGTGAGCACCTGTATAAAAGCAGATGTTTTGGAAGTTTGCTAGTTGCTAATTTTAACAGTAAGCTATAATCTTCCTAGAAGCAAATGTCCCAGCAAATACTTCAGAAGAACAGACTGTGCAATGTTTAGAGAGATTGAAAAAATCCAAAGCTAGATCTCAGACTCCAAACCTGAGTTGGCATGTTAACTGGTTAAGTTCATGGCAGTACAATACACACACACACACACACCTCATACGCACTGTCACTGGTGGACCATGACCACCTCTATGTATCGGTGTTCTAGACTAAATGTGAAGCCATCTGTCTGACAGCTAAAGCTTGGCAGAAAGTGGGTTTTGCAATAAGACAATAATCCCAAGCACAGCAGCAATTCTGCAACAGAACGGCTAAAAAAGGACAAGAATCAAGATGCTACAGTGACCTAGTCAGACCAAGTTCAGACCTTCACGCGATTGAGATGCAGAATGACGTGAGAGACTGATAGAGGCTGGGATGAAAAGTATAAAAGTATAGGATGCAATTAATTCAAGGTATTGCTGCTAAAGATGTTTCTACAAGCTTCTGAATCAGGGAGTATGCTTAGTTTTCACAGGACTGACATTACTTACAGTAAAACCAGTGGCTATGCTTGATAAAATGAGTGTCAGGCTGCTGAAGCCAATATATTGTCAGTGTAAGACTCTTACCAGCCGAAGACTTCTCTATGCCTAACAGCCACATTCTCCCAAGGTGCTAACATCGTCTGACAGCAGGTACACAATTTCCATCACATGTCAGTATCTGACATGTGAGGTGCACTCCACCCTTCTCAAGCCCAATCCTGCCACAGTGAACCTTTCTCAGCACTCTCATTCCTCTAAACATCCCTATTTTGATTCCGATGAGCAGACTTCATCCCAAACAGATATCTGTTCAATGGGGGGGATTAAGTGCAGATACATGACATTTCAGGCCACTCCAAGGACCTGAGTCGAGGCATAAACACCTCCTACGCTACGTCAGGGAAATATTTATCTTTGCTCATAGAACTTGTTGAGATAATGTCAACACTCCTTTTGAGAAACAATTACATTTGTACATGAAAGACTAAGAGTCCTTGTGGAATTACAAGTGTGGCATTTAAGTAACTCTTTAAGAAAAACTAGAGATACACACATAAAAGCCATATTCATCTTGCAGAGATACAAGAAAAACTAACAAATTTTTATTAAATGAAAATCCTCTTCATGTTCATTTATCATGACATTTCCTTGTTTTGACTGCAAATTATTGTTTATTCATCTGGCTGTGGCTATAAAGGAAATAAAGCTGACGTTATAAGGGATCCACTAGGTCAGCTGGAGGTAATTTGTCATTTTCTTCTCTGTGTTTTTTCTCAGTGACCACAACGCTATCTCCAGGCTCAGGCCATGCCAGAAAATGCAACGACACAGAGAGAGCCTACTGTGTGAATGGCGGCGACTGTTACTTCTTCCATGGTATAAATCAGCTTTCCTGCAAGTGAGTAATCTCATCTATCCTTTTCTTTTCAAGTATTTTTCTTCTTGGCCGTTGTTGTTTGACAGATGTTTTGTCCCACAGTCCAAATTAGAGGCTCTTTTACGGCATCTTGACTTTGATAATCATCTTCAGCTATCTAACTACAAGTTTTTAACTTGCTTTTTGTTTTTGCGGTGTAGCTCGATTCCCCTTCCTTCTTTCAGCAGCAGCAGCGACACATCACAGGAATATGCTGCCAGTTTGTCTAACTACCCACCTGTTGTGTATTTTAACACTAATAATGGAGTGAGGCGATGGTGTGCTCATCCTTTTAAGTCATGTTTAGTGTACAAGAGGGCCGCACATTAAAAGGCTTTTCAAAATGTCATGAGTCACTGGTTTAGTCGCGAGCAAATATTTATGCCTGTTAGAGGCCCCCAATGAGGTAAATAGAATCATTGCTTACATTTGGCAAAGGGGATCAAGACCTGTGTGTAAAGTGCGTTGGAGGAACCATGCATCTTAGCTTTTCAGGAGGAAAACAGGTTGACATTATCACGGAAACAACCTTTTTTTTCTTTGACATTTACATGTGAGTTTGTGTTAGCCTCGAACTCAACATTATTCGGGACCATGTGCACGAGAGGTTAAGCTAAACAAGTGGTTTTCTTTGTAGAGGACTAACAGTTTTTGTTGTTTCTTTAAAATTTATTTTAAGAGATGAAACAACCACTTTCTCGATTAGTCATTTAGTAATCAGAAAAACGCCCTGCAACTACTTGCATTAACTATTACTCATTTTTAGTCATAAAAGCCAGATGTTCACTGGTTTTAGATTTGGGAATGACTATTGGCTGGTTATCTGCTGCTATTTTAAAATAAAATCATTGATTTTGGGCTGTAGATCAGACAAAACAAGCAATTTCAAAACCGTTCCTTTGGAAACTGTGACTGTTATTTAGATTTTCTTACATTTATTGGACCCAAATACAGTTGTATTCAGAATTTTATTTACACTCAATATGGGCATGAACGTCATGGAAATTTTGGCTTTTAATGATTTAGTTGAACAACATACATCTTTCATGACTTTAAAAACAAATATTTCGTGCACAAGTTTAAATTTATGTAGGATTTTCACTACTTTTCCTACGTACATTTGGTTAAATGTACATTAGAAAGTTACACCTCAATCAGACACTTTTGGTAGCAGTTAACAACCTGGATTAATTCTGTCTGGATATTTGACAACTCTTCTTGGCAGAATTGGTAGAGTTTGTTTAAAGTGGTTGGTTTCCTGGCACAGGCCCAACTTTTAACTTCACTTTTTGATGTGTCCGTGGGATCATTTTCTTGTTGGAACATGCAACTGTCTACACGTTTCAACTGTCTAGCTGTTGATCTAAGGTGAAGGTAGCAGGTAGTCCTACTTCTATATTATTCCATTCACTTTGTGTAATGTACCACTGCCACTGATGAGTGCATGTAAACCTTTGAGCACAGCTGTATGTATTAGTTAATCAAAAGGAAAAAAAAATAGGTTACCTTAGTTGTAAAAATCAGTTAAACCTTATTGTGTAGTTACAAAACAAATGACATCTGCTTGCATTGTTGTCAGATATTCTGATGTATTTTCTCTTCAACCATATGCTAACATAATCCTTTTGGCTGATTTGATATAGAGCTGAAACACTGGCAAGGCTTTCTGTGCCCAGTTGGCCGCAGGAAGAATGCTCGACGAGCAAGCAGGACATGGCTGCAACAGCCGTTCAATACGCTGTGTACAAATTGGAGGCAGCAATAACTCAATTGCTGCAGCTAATTCACTCACGGCTGGGGCATGGGTCCAGAAAAGTTGGATAATGCAGTGAAGGCCTGCAGGGATTTGTTGCCCCACAGCCATCTCATTCAATATAGGCCAGGCTTCAGTGGGTATTACTCTCTGGCTAAACAAGTCCTGCAGACAGCTAGTCCTACTTTTATTCCCAGCTCCTTCACTTTCAGATAGAAACTTTTAGGTTGAGGTAAGGTGATGTGATATGGTGAAATGATGTGAAGAGTGTTGAAAGTTGAAACCTGCTGTTATTTTCATGCAAAGCATGCATAACGTGCAGAAAAAAGAACTGTATTTGTTAGTTGTGTACATTCAGTCAGGACCACTGCAGCCAAAAAGGGAAAATAATTATTTCCATCTGCAGGACTCTGGCATGCAGAAGATTATTAGTATGGCTCTAATCTGGGACTTTTCTACACTTTTAGTTGCTTACAAGGAAGGTGAAAGCAACTTAAATAGGTACCTCATATGAAATTTGATGATTGAACATGCAAGAATATCAGCTTAAGCATAAGGTGAAAAAGGCTGGCAGTGAGATTTTCTGATGTGCTTGGATTGCAAGCCAATCTTGACATTGTGGCTTCCCTCAACTAATTATGTGCTTGTTATATTTTTGAATCAGCTGAAACGGCTCGAATAAAGGTGCTCAAAATTTGACTGAGATGGTTTTAAATCGGGCGTATACTCCACAGATCTCACAGATCTCCTGGGTAATGCTCGTTACAGATACCTGATTTTTTTTTCTGTCTTTCAGTTTGCTTCATACTGTCTGACCAGCAGTCCAAATCCAACAAAATTACGTTTATAATGATTCAAAACAAGGAAAAGCAGCAAACCATCAGAGACACAGTGATTAGAAGTTTTACTATTATGTAATAAATTGACTGTTTCAGTTCTATACATGATGATACAAGTACAATGAAAGTTGTTGAACAGAAGTGTCTTCCTAAGAGAACGATAGTTATCACTTCTTTATGGAACTTATTAGAAGGGTAATGAGTTGCGAAAGTTCAGTGTATCTACAGTTTGTAGAACATTTTCATAAACATTGCAAAGTGTTTGTTTTCCTCCTGAAAGTTACATGTTTATTTTCTGCACCTCTGTGGTCATTTGCACCCCGTGACAGTTTATTTCCTTCATCTTTCAGCCAAGTTTCCTCGACCTAGGTGGCGCAATCCCCCCCACCCGCCCCCACCCAGTTAAACACCATCACTCAGGATGAGTAACTCATTGCCGAATATTTATGGCGCTCCCAGGAGGCACTGTGTGGACCCAGTAAATCACATTTGTTGGATCAGTGGTCTAGTTGTGGCTCTGGGTAGATTGTTGGTGGCCCTGAAAAGACCAACTTCTCATCCAAATTGAGATTATAATGTGGAAATGTGGTTTAACCCAACGCTCCTGATGGTGATGATAGTCTGTCCTCAGTAACAAAAACCTAACGCAGCCACACATTTGAAACTTTGTTCTTGACGCTGACTTCAAAGAACAGCTGAACACATCCTCGCATGTTTACCAAGAAACATTTACATATTCATTTTTTTTTCCTTTCCAAGCTGGAAATTAAAATTTGGGATTTTATTTCCTTATTTCCTGATCTGACTGCTTTAACACTCTGTGCTCTGGTATCAGTTATAAAACAGTCACGTTTGCAGGTTATGGATACATCCACAAGGATTCCAACAGGCTCCAAGAGAAAGAGAAACATTTCCCAACTTTCAGCTCTGTTTCACTGCTTTCCAAGGAATGATTTATTGATTACCTATAAAACATTGCCTGGTTTATCCCGAGCTACATTCTTATTCTCCATACACTCATGAAAATTGCTCTTCTCTCATCCCATAGACAGAGTTCAGAAAGCCATGGGACTGTCAGTATCCTGAATCACATTTATCTCTTTTTATAAAAGCCCATATTATTATTATTATATGTCATTATATATGTTTTTTTTTTTGTTCTTTCTCTTTTCTTCTTCTTTTTTAATTCCTCTGCCAAGATGAGAGCCCAGGCTGAAGTATATTTTTACCCTTTTTTGTTTGTCAGTGTGTCTGTAAGGGAGGGGGGGGAGCTGCTAGCTTATCAGAGAGATGCAGCATCTGCTAAGCATTACATTTTTGTGCAGATTGAGATCAATTTAAAACTGCGAAATTGGGCACGTTCATCAGCAGAGGATGCCCTCCTTGCGTTGTTTGCACTTTACTGTGAGTTTGGTAGCAGTTTTTTGTTGTTGCTGTTACTTGTTTTGTTGTGTGTTTAAACATGCTGTGACATTTTGCAGAAATGTGTGTGAAGGGATTCAAGCCCCTGAAATCAACGTCACTCTCTGTGTGTTTTTTTCCCTTTTCCATAACACTTGTCTGCTCCTTCCCAGATGTCCGGATGGATACTTCGGCCCTCGATGCTTACAGACTGAGCCACTGCGGGTGTACATGCCCAATCCTTTCAAAAGTATGTTCAAATGATATGAGCAGCTGACAACAGAGACACAGTTGTCACTGGATTACCTCTGTGGACTCTTGCTGCCCTCCTCATCCCCCCCACTCCCCACCCCCCCACCAGATCTCTTCCTCTTTCTCCTCCTCTTCCTCCTTCTCAGGTCAACACGCATTGAGCTGTGCACTACACCATGCACACGATGGTGTCATCCAAAGGGAACACTCTGCTTCTGCTGTCTGTAGATGTTCTGTTGTTCTAATTCTGTGTCTCTCTTCCTCTCTCCCCCCTCTTCTCCCCCCCCTTCCCTTCTTTCTCACTTTTTCTTACTCATACTGTCCTTTTCACTCCACTCTCTCCCCCTCTATTTTCTTCCTTTCTCTCACTCTTTCACCACCCTCTTCCTCCTTCTCTCTTTCTTCGGCTTTGTTTCTTTCCATCAGGTGTCCAAATGACTTTACTGGTGATCGCTGTCAAACCTACGTTATGGCCAGTTTCTACCGTATGTCAATTTCCTCTTCTGTCACTGTCAGTCTGTCCTCGTGTCACGCGTGCATGCTGGGTGTAGAGACCGCATTAATTTCCTGTTATTACCTAATAGTTTTGTCTGTGTCTGCTCTGGTGACTCATTCACAAGCTGGCATAGATTAGTGGAGTCTGTTACTGTGTTTGGTCTGCATGTAATATTGTGTGCCCTTTGACTCAGTGCAGTGCGTTGCATGCGCATTCGCAGAATAAGAGTTCGTAGCGAGGCCGACAGCAGCGAGTCAGGGTGTGAGTTTGCTTTGTGCAAGTTGATTTGCACATCGCAAGTTGCATGTAACGACACAGTCTAATGGCAAAATAATTACAAAAGGACTTTGTTTAGCCCACTTACTAATGATGCCTGTTCTCGCAATCAGCTTGAAACATGCAAGCACGTTTGACCCTAAGTAGAGCTTGTATGGAAAGCCAGGCCCAAACAATTAGTCGCAACTAACAAGCATGACAAATGACTGGCTCTATCAGGTGGAGCACTAACTGATAACAGCAAGCTTGTAAAGAGCCCTTATTTGAGAGGCTGCAACCAGCTGAAGCTGAAATGATGGTGCATTTCTTTCTACTAGGATTTATTAACTATTGATAAACAGGTGTGAAAGCGTAACCGTTATCATCAACATAAAGATCAAATATGAAAATGAAAAAACAAAATCACACTGATTTGATTTGATGTCGGAGATAATCATGGATTCCAAAAGAAAAGGCCCACTTACCGCAAAACTTTACAGCACCTGCCTCGCATTAGTTCAAAATTAGCCAAGATGGTAAATGTGAAGCACTATTTGTTTAACTTTGAGACCAGTTGATAACTTGCGGAGGACCTAAATCACAGCCAGCCTGTAGAAAACACTAAGCTTTGTTAGGTCCACACAAGAACATTTAGCCAATTACATCTGCTATAACATGCTGATCCAGAAGAAACAAAATGGTGTTCGCACGACAGATAGTCCAAACACTGTACTGGAGTGCCATGTCAAACAGCTTTAGTAGCCTGGGGTTAGAGAACTAAACCCTGCACCATCCCACACGGCAACATCTGCAAACACATCTATCAACTGCGTTGTTATACTAAGATTAGAGGACGTTTTGTGGACGACTATGGCCTGATTGATATTGCCCTTAAGGGTTTTAGCTTTAAAAACCAACCACATGGTGGGGATTCTTGTGGAGCGTTTAAATGTCAGTATTACTTGAGTGGTGATTACTTGTACAGTGAGAGACGTGACATTAATGAAACGTAACGACTGAAATTTCAAAAAGTCTGGACTTGATTCTTTAGGGAAAGCACTGCATGCACAGGGTTCAAGTATAAAAATGATATAGAATTAAATCCAAAGCCTGTCATTTATGCTGGATAATGGCAGCATCATGCCTTTGCAAGCCCATATGGTTGCGATTTAATGTAACATTGCATTCAGAAAATAACAAACTGCATCTGCGTTTGGAGTTTCCTAATGCTCATCCCTGTAGTCTGACTTTTCAAGCTTACACATTCTGTTTGTTGTATATTGGCACAGAGTACAATACCCCCCAAAAACCCCTTCTTAAGTACAAGTAATTTCATCTCACATTAAGTTGTAATGCACTATGCTGAAATTGCTTGTTTTTCTGGCAGAGCAGACAGTGTTGTGTGGGAGCTTTTTTTTCCTCCCCCGTACACTCACACACTTTTTCTACATTCTGTTTAACTTCAGCGCAGCTGTGCATCAAGGACAGCGTTTATTTCCTGTTCTCATCCAGCTACACAAGTACAGACCAGCCTTGTATTATTTGCTTTGCATGGTTATACAACCAAGTAATCAAAAAACAGACAGAAGATGATAAAAACAAATAGTAAAACAATGAGAGAGAAAAAAAAGCGTGCACCCTCTTTCCGTTACAACACTATCATGGGAACAGCTTGGCTTTTAGTCTTTACAATCAAGTAGAACTGCTAAAATTTTAGTTTAAAAGGCAGACCCTTGTGCTCACGCACATCCGTTTCATAGTTAAAAACCTGCGTCCCGAAAGGGGCACCTCCCATCCCCAGGAGATAAAAAAGAGAAGGAGGATGGCTTTTTTTCTCCTCAGCCATAAGTGCTTGGATTAAATAAGAGCATGTTGTCATAAGAACAGCTGGGAATTGCTTTAGCCCAAGTAAAGCAAGTGAGGAGCCAGAAATATGGACTTGCTAGCTGGTACGACGTCCCTGTGGCCTCTATCTGCCATACAATATAAAGTCAAGCCATAATTCTTCTTATTCTTCATGATTATTCCAACACAGTGCACATACACTCCTTTTAACTTGCCTGTTCATGTGATGGGTGTGTCCTGGAATTGACAGTGTTGCATTTTTAGAAAGCAGAAAACTGAAAGCACAGGTAATCTCGGTAGATGACGCATATTTTCCCAAACAGTTGCTATGCACCTAATATCCCATTCCCTTTTAGGATTTTGTTTGGTTATGCAATGATATGGCGCTTCATAAAACATAAACCTCAAGACTTACTTGTAAAACATAAAACTGTGGCGCAAGATAAACACAGTCCCTCAGAAGTGGCTGCATGCTTGGGCAAAATTCTGCATCATTGCATTTGGAAAGAAAATAAGCGGGGTTAATTCAGCCCCCTCACGTGCCGCCGGAGACGCTACGTGTGATTATAAATGGAGACTGAGGATGACAAAGCCGACAGCGGTAGTGACTCCAGGCAATCTTTGGTTGTTAAGATTACGAGTACGTCCTGTTTGTTTTTAGAGAGCCGCAACTATTGGTAACAGATCCGCCACGAAAGCAGAACAGGCTTAAATAACCCTACACCTACCACAGTGGGTGCATCTATAGGATGTGCTCACCACTAGCACCTGGTTGCTGTCAGGGATCAGCCTTTTATAGGAGTAATAAACACTAAGCGACTCACACAGGGCCACATCATCTCTCCTTTGATCATATCTGGAAACGTTCCCTTTACTTGGCACTGCATTATTACTGAATTGGACCGACACAGCAACTGGTAACATGTATCAAAAAGAGAGTGAAAACTTATTACTTATTGCAAACTTACTGTTAGTCAGCTTTTTCAGCTAACTCAAAGAAAATTACAAAAAAAGGAAATGGTCTTGTTGAGGCCCGTATGCTGAGATATAGAGTGGATATAATTTTCAAGCAAGAGCAGAATATTGTAGTTTTATTAAGAGTATTAAAAAGTAGTAAAAAGAAATCAAAAATCCCTTTATTAGAATTAGTAGTAGTGATATGTGGTAGTGATACTGATACGTAGTGTGGTTTGAAGTGTGTGTTGCATGCTTGTGTCTCGTCTTAGATAGTACTGACCATGTCGTTCTGACAATAACCGACAAGTGTTGTGTAATGCCAATTTGTACTTGCTCCACTTCTATATTAGAAGGTGCCGCTCTTAATCTGGTCTTTTGTTTCTTGTGTCTCTCCCCCCTCCCCCACCCACCTTCCAACTCTCTGCAATGGCAGAGCATCTTGGGATTGAATTTATGGGTATGGAACAATCCATTTTGATTCTCAGTGCTAGCATAGCTACTAAGATGTCGTTCATTTTGACATTACTCGTGTTCCGTCTGTGGTGTGACCATGTCGTCCCCCGATTAACAAGTCGATCTCTCAAACAATCATGCCATGACTTATTACGACGACGAACCCTCAGTCAATGCAACTGATCCTTCATCAAACATCATTAACATGGATGTAATCGCCTCCACCTCTCATTCGCGTGCAATGGAAAAATACCATTAACTCAGTTTCCATCTCACTTACAAGAGCATATTTTCCCCTTGGACTTTAGTTCCTCATTCCATCTGTAACAAGCATGATCTGTCATGTTTGGAGCTATACCCAAGGATTTGCTCAATATTAGGATCTATCTTTCCGACCTTCTTGGTCTCATTTCTAGCGTCTCTTTTTTTTTTTTTCTTTGATATGCCACCTCAGTCTTTCTTTTTATGTGTGATCCTGACCATGCCTCTTACATCATTTCGTCATTAGTGTAGCTGAAATGTAATGTCGGAGTATAAAACATGACACGTTTCTGGTTTGGATCATCCTTCAGGGATGCTGTAAAATGCTGTGATGTGAGCATGCAATGCTATATTTAGAACCTACACTTTCTCCTCTATCAGACACTCTTTCTGCCCTCTTTCATCGTCAGCCTTTGTTTCCTGCTACCTTTTCCAGAAAAGTCCTCTTGTGGTTGGGAGTATAAAATTAATAGTAGATCTCGCTGCTTCAACTACACAAGTGCACTCTAGTAGTAGACCATAAGTGTCATTAAACTAACACAAGTATCGTTTCCTCTGTTTCAAATTCAATATCAGTGGCTAAAAGCAATATTGTTGAAATATCACTGAGTTTGCAGCTAAAAATAAACTGACTTCAGTGATTTATTTATGGCGTCAGAAGCTTGACACAAATTGGTATGCTGATGTAAAATGGCTACTGGTGAATGAAAGGAGGAAACCTGAGATGGTTGCACAGATTCAATTCATTCTTATTACATTATTAATTGGGGACTACACTGCCTCCATTATTTCCCCCCAGGGGAAACAAAGAATCTACGTCAACCTTTTACAAGCTCTTCTCTGGAAAAGCAAAAGCATCAATCAAATTTCATCTTCATTTCATTTCTAATTTCTCTTGTTTGACAAATTTTTTTGCAAAATTGTTGTGATCTCATCGTTGTGTTTCACTGAATGCCTGAGCAGATGATCGCTTCTGTAAGTGAGTGAGTGAGATAGTAGACCACCAAAGACACCAAGACTAAGACTTGTTATTGAATATTTCTCATTTTATCATGCATGGTGCAATTTAAAATAGCTGGTTTTTAGAGTTGTTTGATCGAACAGTCTAACTCTCCAACAGTCCAATGCCCTTCCCCCACCTACGCCGCGTTACTGCAGCGCAGGGAGCAGCAGCAGCATCTGCTGCATTTGTGATTATGCAAAAGAAGAGGTTTAAGTGTGAAGGGAAAGGGGGGATGATGCTTCATTCTGCTCAGGATTTAGTAAAAAAAAAAAAATAGATGTGTAGATGTGACACCATAACCACCTTAAAGAAAAGAAGCTAATTTTTTTCCTCTGTCATTTCTGTGTGTGTGTGTGTGTGTGTGTGTGTGTGTGTGTGTGTGTGTGTGTGTGTGTGTGTGTGTGTGTGTGTGTGTGGTGTGTGTGTGTGTGTGTGTGATGTTGACAGAGGCAGAGGAACTCTACCAGAAAAGAGTCCTGACAATCACGGGTATTTGTGTGGCTCTCTTGGTCGTGGGCATCGTGTGTGTGGTTGCCTACTGTAAAACCAAGTAAGTCCAGATGATGAATGATTTCTGAAGATGTACTCCTGCTCTTTAATTTAATAAATATACAAAACCGTAAATATTCGTGTACTTCCCAGTCCTTGTGACATTCAGCAGGTGGAAATGATAGATTATGTCTTAAAATACACCCTTACTTTATTAGGCATGTAGTTACTGTAGGTGTTACAGTAAATCAAAAAGACTTAATAAAAGGTGATTAAATAATAAGGGAATGACCAAGATGTTCTCAACAGGAAACAAAGAAACAGGATGCACAATCATCTGCGACAAAACATGTGTCCAGAACATCCCAATCGTAACTTAGCTAATGGACCCAATCACCCAGGACCCGGCCCGGAGGATATCCCTATGGTAGATGTATGTTTCCGAGGATTCCTTACATTATTGCAGTACACACAGACTAATTTACACCACATGGATTTTGTTCTTTACAATCGTTTTTGTTTTTCACTCTCCACCTGCAGTACATATCAAAGAATGTCCCTGCGACTGAACGTGTTATACGGCCTGCTACAGAGGGCTCATTTCCTGCCAGTCATGCCTCTTCCAGATCTCACAACTCTTCCACACGAGCTCATTCATCAACTCACAGGTGAGCATCCAGCACGTGCGTCATCATAACTGCCTCTTGCAAATAGGGAATCAATCACAAAGTGATAGAAGAGTTTGATTCATCGAGACAAGTTCCTATATTTAAAGGGCACACTCGGTTTTAGTTGATCATTACAATCCGATGTAAGTAAATTGTTAACAGTGCAGAGTATCTGAATAGAATCGTTAAAAAACACACACCAGGAGTCTCGCTGCTGCAGAGTGAGCCAATTGCTGGTGAGGTAAGACAGTCTGTCTGATTTCTGCTGAAAAAGGCAAGCTTTGTTATCTGTAACAGACACGATTTTAAATTTGTAAGTGATCTAAGATGGGAAAAAGTAGTGCTGGCAGAGGAGTCACAGCTGAAAGTATTACCAGGATTTCTCACATGGGAATTCGCAAAGACACAGAGGCCAACGAGTGCTGAATGCATTAGTCTGCACTACTGAAGATTTGGTTTTCTTCTGCTGTTTCTATTGGAAAGCTCTTGTGGACTTCTCTTCAGAAGCAACTTAATCAAAGGGTTTATGACTGACCTGTCGCTGTGAGGGACTAAGTTTTCATATGCAGGTTAAAGAGGAACAGGATCAAAAGAGATAAGAGCTGAATATCTTGGTACTTTTGCTAACGGATCATGGAATTGCAGTTGAATTGTGGAAATGTTCTTCCTCCAGAGACAGCCGCAGATTTGTTATCAAGCACTCTTTCAAAAAAAAAGGACAAAAAAGTGAAACTTGGACATATTGTGGGGTGTGTGCATGTTAACACCTATTTTTTTTGTCTTTTTTTATTGTCAGACATGAGGAACGGACATGGAGCCTGGAACATTCTGACAGTATCCTCTCTGACTCGCCGGGAATGATGTCATCATCCGTGGGGACCAGTAAATGCAGCAGCCCTGCGTGCATGGAGGCTCGAGCACGGCGCGCTGCACACTGTGGTTACTCTGACCCCCATCGGCCGAGGCTGCAGTACGGGGACTCCTTCGACTCGCTGGGAGACTCTCCGCACAGCGACAGGTGGGGACCAGACCTGTGTGGCTGATATGGCACTGGGTTTGTCATGAATATTTTGAGAAGTTTCCTCTCTCTGCTGGTTCTCTCTCAGCCTCGAGAGGCCAGTCAGGGCACTCTGAGAGACTCAGTGGAAACTGACACACAGCAGGCATGATGATGAAATACGCTAAGGTAGGCAAGAGTGAGAAACAGTGCTCATTTCAATGGGAAGAGTATTCCCTGGCCAGTATGCAATTCTAATTGGCTAGTGTTCCCTTTTAATGTTATTTTATTTTATTTAAGGGATGGTGTGACATTTTGTTAAACACACTTGTCTGCCATTTTGCACAGTCAGATTTAAACTCACTTAAGTCAGAAATAGGACAGGTTTAGTGAAAGCTAGCACAAAGAGGAGATTCAGAAACAGTCTGGCAGATACGAAGAAATACGCCTTTCATCACCTCCACAGCTGTATCATTTTTATTTCCTGTACTTCATGTAAATATGTCTGTACCAGAGGCACAGAGAAATTAAAGTTCTCACATGACAAATCAGATCAGACCTAAACTTAGATCTAAATAGTGTGCATCTAGGTCTTTCTCTTTATGTGTGTTGTAATTCAATAGTAGTCAGCGTTACATTATTCTGTTGCCTGATTGTGGTACCTAAAGTCCCCAAATGCCCTCCTCGGTCTCTGCTGATGTCTTGAATTCCAGCACTGTTCACAGCTGACAATCCATCGCTCAGCAAGCCTAGATTAGCAGTGAGCTGAGAGGAAATTTGGGAATTTGGGGGCATGGTTGGTTTCTACTGCTTCAACACAACTCCTACAAAGATTTTTAAAGACACTAAGGTTAAGGTTTCTCTCTTCTTCTTCTTCTTCTTTTTAAAACAAATTATTTCTTAGTATGAAGACCTGCTATAAAAGGGTGCTTAACATCACACTCTCAAACATTTTTTTATTCAAATGAAAGTCATTAACGGTGTTGTAACATAATGGTGATTTGAGCCTATGGTCTGCTGTAAAGGTATTGCAATATTTATACAGTGTTACGCACAGGGTAGCTGCATTATTCCCAGGAAAAAAATACTGTATTAACTGAATGTGTTCTAGCCCTTACTGCTACATTACAGCTTCACATTACTGTAAAAACAGACTTTTACTATAGTGTAGATTGTATCAGTGAGCTTTAATGCTCCTAAACATTGTTGTTCAACAAAGCAGCTCTACAGTAAGCCATTAGGAGTTTTAGAGATCATTTCTTCAGCGGCGATTATTGTCTGTCTGTTTTACTAAAACAGCAACAGATTGTTTTGCTGCCGCAGATCATTTGTGACCTGTCAGTATGAATTGCATTTTCTGTGACCAACAGCAACTGTGAGTGCTGCCAAGCTGAAAATGAACTGATCAGGCAGATTTAGTCTTCAGGATCTACATCACTTCTAGTATCTTGCTTCATGCATGCTTGATAACACTTATCATCGCCTAATCCATTTCAGATGGAAAACAGTACTGTGTATTGATAGCTCAAACTGACAAGCTGATCCTAAAGGAAACATAAGATTCCAATGGAAAAGCAGCTGTTTATTTTTTTAAGACTACTTCTCAAAAGTCACTTTGTTGAATATACTTAACCCCTAAGTGAAATGCTTCATACAAAGTGGTACAGTCTAGAAGCATCCAGCAGAACAGTCTGCTCGGTGGGATTCATTATATTGAAAGGCACAATTAGATTTACCTTAGCATGGTTTTCTTACCTTTCCAAACTTAAAATGCATAACAGTCAGACCAAATTATAATCACATTTTAATTGATTAATATATTAACCGGTACTAACATTCTGTTCTGTACCTTTGGCTTTAGTACTGAGCCAAAATGGAAGTATGAAATGGATGTATCAAGAAGGCTGGAGCTCCTATACAGAATCCAAGCCAACTATCAGTACCTAAGAAAACCTAACCGAACAAGACATGTGCTGCCTTTTATCTGCTTGAGTTCTTAACTTAACTGACAATACCCGCATGCAGCATCTGTGCATGACCGCTAGGTTGTGATGCAGCGACAGATTACATGTCCTCAGAGTCATTCCAGGTTGCACGTACGTCTTTGATCATGGTGGCAGTTTCTGCCTCAGCTGAATGAGTGGTGTTGCGGGGATATCTGAGGCTTGTGTCTAATATAGCAGGTTTCCTAAAGGAAATAAAAGGAAATAAATAAAACACTCTGTACACACAGGTCCAAAGTGAGTCACCGTCAGCCATCCATAAATTCTAACCTGTCTTTCAGGAATGTTTTGAATTGTTTTTGCTTTTTTTTATTTTATTTTAATATTACAAATGATGGGAAAACTCTGCATCTGTAGCGTATGCGCTTCTGATGTCTAAATATAGATTCTCAACATTAACTTCAGCAATCAGGCACGGTGTTAGTACGCTCATTGAATGGCTAAACGTGGGTTTGTTTTGAAGAGTTTTGTAAAGTATAGCTACAGATTTGACTCGTTGATCTTGTTGGGCAGGTTGATCCACGGTTATTAAAGAAGAGAGTTAAGTCCTCGTCCTTCTTCCTCGTCAGGACTGAAACCTGGCTGCTCATAGTAGATCATCAGAAAACTGATGTAAATGTTAGCTATTCAAGCTCTGCTGGGGGAAAACATTGAATGTCTGTGTACTAAATCCTGAGCCATGTTGTTATGAAAGATTTCTGTACCAACATTAATAAACATAGTAATGATGGTTTTACTTTTGTCAGTCTTGAACATTAAGCAGTATTGTGCCTGTGTTGGGTTATGCAATCCAGAGCAGATCACAGAGGAGACTCCATGGTGCTTTTACAAGTGGAGATATTATTATATATTATATTTCTCATTAGAGACGTTTAAGCTCTGCACACAAAAGCAAAAGCAGTCTGAGCAGTAATCGAGTAGCAAATATAACAGTAATATAGTTATCTAGACTGCAGAGGATTGCTGGAAGTAAACTACACTTTGGGGCAACCTGTAGCCAACGCCCAGTGCTCCACCTACAGCAGGGAGCGGTGCTGCTCAGGTGAAACTCTAAGCTAAACGTCTCTATCGAAAAGCAATCACTTTGACTGAATATTTAAGTGTACGTGCAGCTTCAGGGTATAATGTTCATTAGTTTAAAGAATACCTTTAAAACATTCACACTAGGTTACTGTATGTGCAGCTGTCTTTGTCAGCACAATTCTTTGTTCTTCTCCAATTAACTATGACCTCCTCCTCCTCTCTGTATTTACCACAGATACGTATCAGCCCTGACAACACCAGCCCGCCTATCCCCAGTGGATTTCCATTACTCATTGCCCCCGCAGGTGCCTACCTTCCAGATCACATCCCCCAATGCCAGCCACGCCATGTCGCTCCCTCCTGCTGTTCACAATCCGTACCCCCTGGAGGATGACCAGCCTCTGCTGCGCCGCTACCAGGTGCCCCTACACGATGCTCATTGCCAGGAGCCTTACCGGCAGCAGCGTCGAACCTATCTAAATGACAGCAGGGGAAGCCTTCCCTCCAGCCCCTACCGGCTGGCTGAGGATGAAGACTATGAGACCACCCAGGAGTATCTGTCCTCTCGGGAGCAACCAAAGAGAAGTGGGTCCAGTGGAACTGGAAGCCGGCGCTGGCGGAGATCCAGACTGAATGGCCACGTGGCCCCACGAGGATACGAGGCATCCCGGGACTATGGGTCTCGAAGCTGTCTAACAGATAGTGAGTCAGAGGAGGACGGCGAGAGCACGCCCTTCCTCAGTATGCAGAACATGAACGCCGAGCCTTCCACCATCTACAGGCCGGCGGACAGTCGGACTTCTAACTCGTCAGGGCGACACAGTGGGCATGGGAACACGCATACGAGACTCACACAGTCACGCTCCAAACCGGACAATACACCGCATTAAAGAGTGATAATGAACCGACAAAAATCAATATAGTATAGACCTGCATCTATAAGAAATATTTTTATTTTATATAACTGACAGATATTCTAAACAAATGAAATATTTATTTTCATTTTAGCAAAAGTTGTCTACTAGTTAACAGCAAAGACTTTTTTATAGGGAAAACTCTATTTATATGTACATTTTGATTTACAGCATAAAAAGATGTGCCAGTTTTTTCACAATGTTAAAAAATAGAGTAATATTGTGGTGCCTTTTGCTGTATGCCGATGCCAGAGGGCCAGTGGAGGTTTTTGTAGCCTTTCTTATATGGACGCCTCATTTTTTTATACACATTTATGTTTTTGTTTTTCCTCTCTGGTTTCCTATTTACTTTCTTTCCAAATTGCATTCTTCGAGAAGTCTAACCCCTTCCATATCACGCGATATAAACCACTTCAGCATAAAGTGTATGTTTACATATGATAATATGATTCGCCTGTAGGGTTTTCTTTTATGATTTGGGATTTATTAGAACGCCTCATAAATGCGATGTAGATTCTTTTCTTTTTTTCTTTTTTTTTTTGCCCGCTAACTAATGTCTACCAAGAGAAAAAGAGTCACAGAGAGTGAGAAATTGTGTTGCGTGTGCATAAATGTCTGCGAGCGTGTGTGCGTGTTTGTGCACGCTCGTGCGCACCTGTGTGTGTTGCTTGCATGCGTTTGTGACTGTTAGATGAACTTCACTGTTTGTTGTGGTAACATCAAATGTGTGGGTCTACTGGTGTCTCAGGAGAGTGAGAGTAAAGAGTCTCGGAGGTTCACAGAAAAGTGGTTAATCAGAACAGTGACCCCAGTGTAGGTGAGCAGGCAAGGCTGCTGTAGGGTTGTATGTTATGCAGGTCATTGCTTGATGTGTTTACAGCTATTCTGCCCCTCCCCAGTCCGCCCCATTTACGTCCTTTTTAAAAAAAAAAATTTTTTTAAATGATTATTTCCCAACAGGTTTTCCTTGCTTTAGCCTGGTATGTGGCCAACAAACACTGAGCCGCTTGGCACAGGGTGACCCCTGCTGTCAGAGGCAGTGGCAAAACAAAAAGATTGCGTCTGTTTTCACTCGAATCCCACGCCTAATCATCCTTCTGTGTCCATTCTGTTTTCGTGGCTTACGTTTAAGGCCACCAGCGTCTCAGGATTTCCACATTCATCCCCCCGCCTCCACCTCAAGCCCTGCTCAACCTCTTCCTTAAGTTTAGGTCTACCTAAGATTCAAGTTCTCAGATGCTGAGGACCTACGTGTTAACACGCAGTTACTAGTACCCCGATCATTCCCATGCAGAGAAAAGTAAAGTCAGGTGGAAGCAGCTCAGTGGATCACAGTACAGAGCATACTAGACAATATTAACGAAATAGCTGTGAAACTTTGGAGGATCATATGATGCAAAAATATGCAAACTTTCTATTTTGCTGTTTGATTACATCATTTTCTAAGAGGTGACTGTAGTGTGTTGTGTGGAAAAAAAAATGTGATGCCTATAGTGTAGAATGAAATAACATGATACAAATGCATATTTACCCGAGTTATTTTTTGAAAGCCATTATGCAGCCGTCTATCATGTTTTCAGCCTTTCTTGTTCACTTAACGTCACGTCCATTGAATGACTGTGTCTGTGAATTATTTTATCACTCGGCTTAGATCCCTCCACCTCACGTGCATACTTCCCAGTAATAGCCGATAGAATCCAAATAGTTTCTCCTCTGATAGTAATGTGTACTGCTTTGTCTTGTTGACTGATGGAGTCATTTAAAATTTAGCCTGTAAATGATGATTTTGAAAGTGAATAAATTCATTTTAAGCCCTTTGTCCTCCACTGAGGGAGAAGTAAATATTTGAAAGATATCTCAAAGTTACAGCCGTCAGTGTGGCTCGCACAGAAAGGACAGCTGATGTTTCGTCTCTGTCGGTATATTTCTGCTCCTCCTTATTAAAAATAATGGAATGCTGCAATTAGGGGGGGGAAATGCCTTTTAAACACTGATCTGCAATTCTGACTGGTATATGGTAAATGCACAGTGGCATGGCAATAGAGGATGGTCACACATCGGTCACAACATGCAGATGTTTTCATTGAGTTTCTCACCTCTGGGTCTAATTTTGTATGTCAGAAAAGTGCAAAAGAAGACTTCACCTCCAGTTTTAATGTGACAGCCCCTTCACCCTGCCAGTCCTCTCACCCATTTGAGATGCTACCGGGCACGTCCAATCAGCTTCTTCTGTTGAAATTTATGACCCCCCCCGACCCCACCCTCGCTTGAAATGTTTGAACACCTCTCCTCTGCATGTCCTTGTGGTCAAGGTTAGATGGGTGCATGGTTTAAAAAAAAGAGATTTTAAAAAAAAAATCACACAAAAAAAGCAGCAGACAATTCTTTTCCAGTCAGTGAAAGTGTATTTCATTTAACATTCAGCAATAAAAAAGAACCTTTCCCCATGTCATTCCTGAAATATGCTAGAAAAAAGAAAAAACTTGCGAGATTGTCATAGATTGTAAAATACAATGAAAAATGAATCCACCTGTTCATATGAGAAAATAAATCTTTATTCATATCATTTTACGTTGTAGTCATTTCTGTAGACCGCCTTGCTCTGTATTTTGATTCATCTCTCTCTCTCTCTCTCTCTCTCTTTCTTTTTTTTTTTCTTGGCTTGGGGTTGGACTCGTCTGGCGTGCGCAAGGTGTCTCAGGAGAACACGCATAAAACCTGACAGTGAAATAAAATCTATTTAATACAGTGATCGAGGGTTTATATGTTGTAACCAAAAGGTTTTAGATAGCAGTTTCATACAGTTAGTGCCAGACACACACAACAATGCATTTGTTGCGTGAGAGCAAGAGCACTGGCGAACTTTAACTATTTCAAAGAGGAAAGTACGAGCCTTAAATTGAAAACATACATGTTGATATGAGGCTATAAGTATGAATCTATTTATTGTAAATCCTGGTTTGTTTGGGTTTTTTCACTCCAGACGGATCTTTTAAGGAACACGAACCAAAGCATACTAGTATTGTGACGCTGCCTTTTTTGTTAATCATGGATGACTATATGGCCAAAATATCAACTGTTCTGATAAATGAGAGTAGCTACAATATGTGAAATCCAAGTCCAATATTTAAACACTGAAAGACAAAACCTCAATATGGTCAAGATTTCATTTTAGATTTAGTTTTCCACCTTCTGTTTTTTTTTCCTCACATGGATACCTTCCCGTGATGGGAAGTTCAGCTCCTGCATTGGCATATATGCACCACTAGATGGTGTCACAAGCAGCAAGATGCGGAAGTCTTCAAATCACAAGAGTTCACCCTATGTAGGCGTGAGTGGTGCTCCGCATCAGCACTGTTTCCTCCTTTACCAGTAACATCCCCCCCTCACATCCGTGTAACAGCAGTAACTGAGAGAAAAGCAGCAAATCCGCTGAACCGATTCAAGGAAAGGGACGAGACCAAGTAATGTTTCCATAATATTCACTCTTATCATTCTTTTCGCTGACCACCATCTGTTTAATAACTGCATTGATAACCACTGCATTACATTTTTGCTTGCGCGATGACACTCGTTTTCCGGGTGGTAACTGTGAGAACTCTAGAGAGCGGCGTTAAATCCAGAGCGTGCAGCGTGCTGAGAACAAAAGTAATTGAATAAATTAAATGGACTGAAATCTAAGAAACTACATTTCTCGGAGGCTGTCTTATGAAAAACACAAACAAAATCCTCTGACCCATCCAAGCTACCTGCTTCAGCAACAAAACACTGATCTGCCCTTCAAACATTAACTAGGGTGTTCAATTTTTAAAGAGTGGGGGTTCATTTCACATAATTCATGGGAAATCTGCCTTTACTCTTGTGTTCACAACAACAATGCTATAGCAAAACTGTGTGTGTGTGTGGGGGGGGCAGTGAAAAACAACGGCATGTCAGATTCCTGCTGTGAATCTATTTATTTAGTTTTTATACTTTGTGCCTTCTGTTGTGTGGCTCATCTGCTGCTTTTATTTAAATCCAAATCCTTGATTTCTTGTTCTGTCTCGTTTTAGTTAATTCAGCTCAAAGTGACTCATGCCAGATGAAGTAGACTGAAAGGGGTTTTACTAGTATTTGTGTTCAAACGTCCATAAAAAAGACAGACTTTGAGATTTAAAAAGGATTATAAGAAGTCTTGATTTAAAAGACAAAAAGGCAATTGTTTTCCAATACGGGCTTGTGTATAGAACAATAAAGATACCAGTGGATGCCGTCTTTAACCTGTGAAAGGCTCAAATAAAAAAATCGCTCTACACATTCAAAATACAAATAAAAAAAAATAATAATGACATGTGCAAAGTAAGATTAAGATCCTGAAATCTACTGATTGTCAGATAAACAGGTCTGATTGTCCACAGCGTTCTTTTCACGGTGGCGTTCGCTTCGGATTTAACTCATTTGTTCACAAAACGAAAGAAAAAACATTCGTCCAGCAATCATAAGGTGAACCAAATTTGTGGAAATCAAACAGAGAAGAGATAAAAGTAGCACTCACTCTACTTTCATTAACATGTGGAGTACAAAAACACTCAGGCAACAGGCTTTAGGAGGTTTGCCCCGGTGTCTTCCAAGATTATTGTTTCTTTTGGTGACATTTTGGAGCGTTTCCCAGATCCCCTGTGTGCAAAATAGAAAATGCAAATGTGGATATATTATTTTTTTTTTCTCCCTTCTCTCCCTCTCTCTTTCTCTCTTCTAGTCTTATGTGCTTTTTTTGGCCTTGAGTAAACCATGATGATTTGCTATTTGCTGTATACGTTACCCTCGAGTCCTCCTGAGTTCTGTTTCTAAAATTAATGTTTTGATTCTGGGACATGCAGAGATAAAATAAAAGGAACACATGCTGCGTCCTGGAACTCAATCTTACCTCTCCTCCACATCTTGTATTGTGTCGGGAAGGGGTGTGCCAAGCGTTTCTGGAAGAAATATAACAGCAACCCCACTGAGGATTGGCGCCCCTCCATAGATTAAACCTGGTAGCCAAGGTATGTAGTCTCCCGTGAGGCGCACCATGGGGGCCACCATAGCTCCTACACGTGCTATACTGGACACCAATCCCATGCCATTCTGACTAAGAGAGAAGACATAAAACCATAAAACAGCTGCAAACAGTCATAACTACACACTAGTAAAGTCAGAGATTGTGTCAACAGAGGGTCAGTAAATATGTAAATTATTTTAGTGATAGTAAAGAAGTGCATGTGCAGTCTTAGACTATTAAAATGTCATGAAACCATATATTAGAGCAGAGATGTCATTATGGGCCACATCCAGCCAACGTTGAATTTAAGTAAGCCAGACCAGTGAAACTCCTCAAACTCCTCTTTATATCAGTGTAAAGAAGTTTGTCTACACATTTAATACCTTAGATTTCTTAATATAAGAAAAATCAGCACAATTTCAACGGTACAGTTCAGGTTTTCTACGTGACAAAGACATTATTTGGAACTCATTGCTTAGACCAGTGGTTCCCAAACTTTTTTTGCTGGGCCCCCCTTTGTTTTACAAGAAAAATGTTCGCGTGTGCGCGTGCACAAACACATCCTCCAACCACACACACCCATATTTTGCTCCATTGCGGTTTATTTCACACCTCAAACATTTAGTAAACAATTAAGCAAATACAAATAAACTGCAATAAATTACAGGTAGTAAGAAAATAAACTACTAACTCTTTTATGCTACGTCCACACCTAAAACAAGAATTTTGAAAACCCAACCGGTTCCCCCAAAACGAAAACGCCGTTCAAAACAACCAAAAACGAAAATTTTTTAAAACTCCTTTTTTGCGTTTACCTGTGGACGAGGAATACAGAGTTGGTCACGCAACGTCAAAGGTATGTGCCTTTTTCCACGTCACGCTGTGCGCCACGTTATTGTTTACCGGAGATGAATTGCAGAATGGCAGATAGAGACAAAATACTGTTAATCTGACTATCTTCGGTTTTTACAGGCTTACATACACACACGCAGTTACTGTCCCTCTATTTAGAAAGGCAGAGGCGTCACGGTGTGATTATTTTACGTGTAGTTGTTTTTTCCCCCCGTGTAATAATATTCAACATTGCTATCAATTCATTTTCGAAAAATGCCTCTCTGTGCAAAATGGGTTGAAAAACATAAACAAGTGTGAGATACTGTTTGTCCGTGATTTAGACAGGGGGAACAAATCGTGGCAGGATCAGCCTGATATTATTTGTATCCCACTGTAACTTTACTGTATACAGAGCTAACATCTCCAAAATGTCAGGAGTAGTTAGTCATTACAACAAGTGTTTGGAACTAAAAATCAAGAATGTGGGATACTGTTTGTCCGTGATTT